TAAGATTGGGTAACAAAAATAAATTTTTTCCAGAGGACAATTGCTCGTTCTCTGCCAAGAGACGACCAAGTTGTAACCTCGAGAGCCACGCAAAACTCATCCACCAGTGAGTGGATTTCTTTGATAAAGAAAATTCTGTTAAATTTACGTTTTCGTGCAAAATTCAATCGACAGTGGAACGTATTCTTGTTCCGAGCAGAAAATACATCGTGAATGGACATCAACTGAACGTGAATCCTTCCCTGAATGACAATTTTGAAGAATGAAGACTCAGTTTTAGAGATTAATATACTTTACAGTGAATTTTTTGCACATACTGTGTACTTTATTTTTTGCAATTACTATATACGTTATTGTTAACCAGAATAATATGAATTATTAAATATATAAATTAAGAATATGCTATATAATTACTTTATATAATATTTTAAATTTTAATAGTTTATATAATATGTTGTATAATTATTTTATGATATTTTGGTTGCTTTTATATAAAAAAATTTTTTTTATTACTATCAATAATCGATATATCAGTCTGTACGATAAAATAAAGGAAAAAAAAAAAAAGAAATAAAGATTTAACCTTAAGATTAGCTCAAATTGTATTTCGAATTTGTACCTTTGTTTCATTTTATAACAATTTAAATGATCGAAGTATTACAGAAAAGGCCTTCCATTAAAATTATATTTATATACAATTAAAATTATATATAAAATATAATTAAATAAAATTATATACAAAAATATATTTAAATATATTATAATTAAATATATAAATATATAATAAATATATTATAATTAAAATTATATAAAAAAAATTATATTTCCATTAAAATCAGTTCCCTTTCATACGTTTGAAAAATTTAATTTTTTCACTGGCCCAACCTTTATGATAAATTGTAAGACTTGGTTCCAAATCGAGCTAATAACCCAGACTTTAAATAATGAAAATAACAAAGAAAACGGAAAGAAATGACTTTAACTCTCGTTTTTCTTCTTCCTTCGCGTTCGAACGGGACACGCCGATTTCAGCGTGAAACTTCTCGATCGCCAGTCGCCCCGAAGTAAATATAAACGGGGAGCGCTTAATGAAATCGTTTCGCGACGCGAACGTACCGCCTTCGCCGTGTTATTTTTGTCAAAAGGTTGCAGCGATGGGTTGCACATGCTCGCGATATATCAGATCCGGCGCGAAATACGCGCCGCGGATCTTCTTTGGCGTCTTTTTTGGACCTGGGCCAACGAACGCCATTCCATGAAGCCCGATGAGTGTTCTCGTTAACCCATTGAGATCGCGCAACGACGAAGCCAGCTCGCGACGAAGGAGCAATAATATTCGTCGATATTTATCGTTATTAACTCAAGTCGATCGCGACACGATCGTGAATTCAAAACTGTTGTCAAAGTTGAATCCGATCCATTTTTCTGTTCTTTGATAATTAAGTTGAAGAGCCTCTTCTTCAAGTAATAGAGAAGTAAAGTTTTTATTACTTTTATATTTTTTATTATTTTTACTTTTTCTATTATTATTTTATACATTTTGTAGTATAATTTTATTATTATTTTATATATTTATATTATAATTTTATTATTTTATATATTTATATTACAATTTTATCATTATTTTATATATTTATATTATAGTTTTATCATTATTTTATATATTTATATCATAATTTTATTATTATTTTATTATGTGTTATTAAAGAATAAAATACTCTAATAACTGAAGAGGTGGCTCTTCAAAAAAATCTTTCCTCCGAATTTTCATTTTGCAAGTATCTTTCACTTCCATGCTGTTCAGATTTCATGTATTATTCGGCTGCAAAATATTTTTGGATTTTGTCGAAGTCGCAGCGCGCCAAACTTGTTATTTTGTCCCCCTAGCTGCCATTACTTTCGATCATTTCTGTTCGGCAAGGATTAATATTTATGGACTAATATCTCGAAATTTATGATCCCCTTTTTTTTTATGATCCCTGAAGACCCAAACTCGAGGTATGATATCCAATGAAAGTCGTATCACTGTAATAAAATGTTTAATAATCCAGTTACTAGCAGATGATATTCGGATATTAGTTATCAAGACACTCGAAAAATAAAAATAAGAAATAAAAAGCTAGTCAGTCAATCAAGAGACAATCGGTGATGCAGTTACCATTTACTATTCTGTGCACTGGTGGTATTTACGATACTGTTAGCTACCATGTAATAGGATAATAATAATAATTAAATAAGCGAAACAGGAAATACAGTATACTTTAGAAATTGGGAGATGACGAGAGCAAGAATGTACAATATACACAACGTTCTAGCTTTGAAACATTTATAATGGTAAGACACTTAATTAGACAGCAAGATCTATTAATAATATATACTGAACAGATTATGCTAAAATATTTCGATAAAACCGCTCATAATACGTGCCGCGGTATACGAATTCCGTATTATAAGCTGCGGCGTAGAAATTAAAGCGAAGAATTCTGTTCACGAAGTAACACGATGAATTTTTAATTCTTGAAATCTCTCGAAGATCGAACACTCGTGTCCCACATTCTCAGTTACTGTCGCAGAAATACGCAACATCCGTGATTTAATTATCATTCGCTCGCAGTGAAAAATTATGCTGAGAAGATGCCGCGACACTGCCAACTCAAAAAAAAGTTTTATTGTCGATTACAACGTGTCGCCAATGAAAAATATTTGAAAAATCTCTCGTGGGAATATTTTTCACCAACCACGTTCTCGCGTTACTAAAATTCTTAACAACTTTTCGTTATACACGTTTTCGGGATGTTCTGCAGCACGTGAGAGAAAGGATGAAGGGGTGATTTCTCGACGAAAAAATAAATCGAAAATGCAGATGACAAATGTAGATAGATCGTGCAGTTTTTTTTCGGAGAGGATCGAGTATGAATATTTATCGAAAGTACTCGCGTGGCAATTTTTAACGAGACAGAGGATTTTCTACTTTCTTGGAAGTGAGCTCGGAATTATTCTTTTCGAATCGACCGAATTCAACAATTCTGACACAACAACTTTCAAGCTCGATCTTCTCGGAAGAAGAATTTTGTCAAATATTTTATCCCAACGAATTTTACTCCATAATTTTGTCTCGTTCTCTGCAAACGAGAAGAGATGAAACGGATCACGTCGAATAAATTCGACGAAGGAATGGACGGTGTTACAATTTCAAGCAAACAAGCAAATATTTTCTCGCGAGGTTTACGATCCGCGCGGCGTTTAAAACAACGATGTGTTCAATTCGAAACGAGTTTATTACGGAGCCGGAGGGCCCCGGAGGAAATTTCTTTTAATGGCGGCAATTATTCACGCCGCGCGCATCGTCAACACTTCTCGGGCAAACGAGCCCCACGTTCGTTGCCTCTGACCATCAACACTTTATAAATATATGCGCGAACGCTTCGCAGTACATTGCTGAATTTATTGTTTCAGGAAAGTTTCAAGAATATCTTTATTTCTCGAAGTCGATTCGAGAAGTAAACAATTGCAAATTGACGCAACTCTCTTACTCTTTACGCACCGAGGTAGCTAAAAGCGCGATCGGTATCTATATTCTTCTGGGCGAGAGTGAAATATTCAATGGCTGAAACAAATTTTGGCAAGTTGCGACACTAAATTGTATATTTAGTTTCTATTTGCATCGGCTGCAAAGAGTCTTTGAGAAACAATTTAAAAAAGAATAATAAATCAACAAAAAATATAGACGAAAGAAGAGAAGGTTTTGTTCGAGTTTTAAAAAAATAAATAATTCACTACATTTAATAGCAGTGAGGCTTGTTATCTGACTTCTCCTCGTGGATTGTAAATCTTTCTCTATTTACTCCGAAAAACAATTGAAAAAAGAAACGTGGAATTTCCCGGACAAACGGAAAAATACAAGAGAAAAGAAAAAAAAGGCTTCGTTCGAGTTTAAAAGAATAAATTACATTTATTATAGCAGTGAAGCTTACTTTCTGACTGCTCCTCGTGGATTGTAAATCTTTCTCTATTTACTCCGAAAAGCAATTAAAAAGAAATGGAATTTCCCAGACAAACGAAAAAAAATACAAGAGAGAAGAAAGAAAAGGCTTCGTTCAAGTTTAAAAGAATAAATTACATTTGACACCAGCGAAGCTCGCTTTCTGACGTTCTGAAAAATAATAAATAAAATAAAAAGGAAGAAAAATAATGATAAAAAAAGAGAGAGAGAGAGAGAACAAGAAACGCTTTCAAACGAACAAAAAAAAAAAAAAAAAAATACAGAGGAAAGAAGAAAAGGCTTCGTTCGAGTTTAAAAGGATGAATTGCATTTAACAGCAGCGAAGCTTGCTTTCTAACCTTCTGACAAATACTAAATAAAATAAAAAGGAAGAGAAATAATGATAAAAAAAGAGAGAGAGAGAGAGAGAGAGAACAAGAAACGCTTTCGAACGAACAAAAAAATACAGAGGAAAGAAAAAAAGGCTTCGTTCGAGTTTAAAAGGATGAATTGCATTTAACAGCAGCGAAGCTTGCTTTCTGACCTTCTGAAAAATAATAACTAAAATAAAAAGAAAGAAAAATAATGATTAAGAGAGAGAGAGAGAGAGAGAACAAGAAACGATTTCGAACGAACAAAAAAAAATACAGAGGAAAGAAGAAAAGGCTTCGTTTGAGTTTAAAAGGATGAATTGCATTTAACAGCAGCGAAGCTTGCTTTCTAACCTTCTGACAAATACTAAATAAAATAAAAAGGAAGAGAAATAATGATAAAAAAAGAGAGAGAGAGAACAAGAAACGCTTTCGAACGAACAAAAAAAATACAGAGGAAAGGAGAAAAGGCTTCGTTCGAGTTTAAAAGGATGAATTACGTTTAACAGAAGCGAAGCTTGTTTTCTAATCTTCTGACAAATAACAAATAAAATAAAAAGAAAGAGAAATAATGATTAAAAAAAAAAAAAAAAAGAAAGAGAACAAGAAACAAAACAAAAAAAAAAAAAACACAAAGAGATGGCTTGTCGCTTCGTTTGAAACACGAAATTTTCGTGGAAAGGGTTGAGAAACGGCGGACGCGGAGATTAAAGATGGCGGAAGCATCAGGTGCCCTCGAGTGCTCTGTCGTCAACGGGGTCGATGCGAAAGTCCCGTTGGATCTCCGTCAGGCTCTTGCCGGTGTTGTCTTTCGCGACGATCGCGGAGAACAGGGCGATCAGCCAGCATATCGCCGCGGAGAGCCACATGACCTTCGTGCCGCCGATGGAGACGATCATCTCGTCGAAGGTGAGGGTGGCCATCAGCGAGATCAGCCATCCGAGGGCGACCGCGGCGGAGACCACTGGCGTCTTCAGCTGTTCCGGCAGCGTGTCGCCTAACAGGGACCACGAGATTGGCCCGAGGCCGAGATTGAACGAGGCGAAGAACAGGATGATCCACGTGGGCGACATCCACGAGTAAACGTCGTCGTTCTCCGGGTCGGCGTCGCGCAGGCTGAAAAACCAACCTGCAATAGACGACGAAGAACAGAAGAAAGGTGAAATTGTCGAAACGCTCGATGTCACGCTAATTTTTCCAGACTGCTGGATATTTCGATATTTCGTGCCGTTAACCAAGTGCCGCGTGTACTCTGTTCACTTTCCTTTCGTTTGTGCCCGTTTGATATCAATTTTGCGGTGATGAGGAAAAAGTTTTGTCTAAGGAGATAGGGCACTGCTGGGAAGAAATGTTAGTAGTAACGTGACTAGGAAAATTGCAACAGTCTTTTATTGCGATGGGTGCAAAGACACAACTTTTGTCTAAACTCTTTTAATAAAACCCATTAAAATTGCTATTGCATTACATATAATATAGTATATATATATATAATATATAATTATATAGTATATATATAGTATATATAATACTATATATATATACTATAATATAATTATAATATAATATACTTATATATTATAATATACTATATACTATAGTATAGTATATATAATATAATATTTATAGTATATATACTATACTATAGTATATTATAGTATATTATATACTATAATATACTATAATATAATTATAATATAATATACAATAATATATAATATAATTATAATATAATATAGTATATATTTAATATAATTATAATATAATATACAATAATATATAATATAATTATATATAATTAAATATAATATAAATATTAATATGAATTTAAATGTTATATATTTATTATATGATAAATATCAATAAAAGCAATATTCAGCTGCGTTTCATTCCTCTACTAATCAAACGTTCTTTAATTTTTAATATACATACTTGTTAATTTTTAATATACAAATTTGTTTCGTGGGTCATCAGTGACTGACACGGCACTTGCCGATGAGAAAAAAACAATCAAAATTACAAATTTTAATAAGGGCTCGTTGCAAACGGAAGTCTCTGATCTCCAAAATGATCGTGAATCTAACAACGAAAAAAATTTTTCAATTTGACTGGAAGCTTCGAAATGAAATCAAATGGAGCCGAATCTTTTTTTTTTTTTACGAAATTCTATCAACTTAAATTATCCACAATTTTTCAATTATGTTCTACCCTGTGCCTAGCTACGAAGAGAATTTTATTGATCCCCTAGCTTGCCATTCCTTTCATTTAAATTTTCAAATTCTACGGAATTTCAACACCAGAACTACCAAAGTTGTCAAGAAGTGACCAATTTGTAATTTTCATAGACGTGTAAACAGTGTTTCAAAGATGTGAATAATTTTTATTTCAAATAAAATATACAAATGAAAGCTTGTCACAAAGTTTCTCCGTTTATTAATTTTTTTAGCTTCAGCGTCTCTGATGGAAATTTTAATCGTCGCTGTTGAAAAACGAAAATTCGTTCGTCGATTTCGAGCATAAGGAGCAGTAGAAAAACGAAGCTGTTACTCGATGTCAAAGAGTTGAAAAACGCTCGTTGCTTTCCGCTCGAAATTTTCCCGAACGAACGATCGATACGCGATACATGTTTCGATACGTTTTTGGTACACGTTTTTGATACTGTTTTTTGGTACGTTTCGGCGTTATGTACCCGGAAGTATTGCAGACGAGAGATATTCTAAGCTGTGCGTCGATCGAATCGATTTCTCGTTACAAAACTCTCTACGTTCGGCTACGAGCAAACAAAAATACAAAATTCATCGACTCTGCGTTTCTAGCCGGGCGCGTTCGATCAAAACTTAGCCGAAATCGTACGAGTGCTTAATGAACAATGATTATGCCGAAGGCGTTCGTCGTTAATTAATTAGTCAAGCGACGTTGGTCCTTAATTACATCCGGCGTAAGTATTAATTCAGCGAAAGTAACACGGCGTGAAATTAAATCGTAACTGCCGCTATTCCGAGTTCCATTCGCGTTTTGACACGATGCAGAGAATAAAATGAGAAATGAAACGTAACGAGCTCGCGTTGGAGGCTCTTTTTTCTCTCTCTCTTTTTTTTTTTTTTTTTTTTTT